CAATCACACCTCGCCCTGTGCCACGCTCTGCCAGCCACATCTGAATCACACCTCGCCCTGTGCCACGCTCTGCCAGCCACATCTGAATCACACCTCACCCTGTGCCACGCTCTGCCAGCCACATCTGAATCACACCCTCCCTGAGGGAGTATTGTCTGGGACTCCCAGTGAGTGGAGGGGTTGGAGCTTAGGAGCTTCTGTTCTGGTCTCCCCACTCCCCCCGCCATATCCTCTGATCTTGTGGTACCAGGGTCATTACAGGAAGAGGGCCTATCCCCAGAATGTTCCATGGCCCCTAGGGAGTGCTGAGTGAGTTGGAGCCAGGGAAGAAGGGGACAGACCAGGGGTGGAGAGGCAGGGGAGGTGAGGATGAAGGACCATGGGGTCTTGACTGGGGGCAAAGCATCTGGATTTGGGGCCACTGGTAACCCTCGCTGGGGGCGGCCATCTGGGCAGTGTCAAGGAGGGGCAGGCAAGGGGAGAGAGAGAGTGAGGGGCCATGGCGGGGACACGCGGGTGAGGATGGAGGGGTCCTGGGAGGGGTGGGGTCTGAACGCCTCTGCTGCGTGGGGCTGTGACTGAGGGCAGGGCCAGATGCCAAAGACACTGCAGCAAGGTCAGATTGGGACCTGCACTCCTGCCCCCAGGGCCCGGAGCCTGTGGGAAAACTGCCACCATGGGAAACGCCTGGGTGTAGGGCACCACGGGGGGCCAGCTGGGGGTGCGGGGATCAGCTGGGGATGCGGGGTACCCTGTCACTGCCGACAGAGGGACCGGCTGGGGATGCGGGGTACCAGCTGGGGATGCGGGGTACCAGCTGGGGATGAGGGGTACCAGCTGGGGATGCGGGGTACCAGCTGGGGGTGAGGGGTACCCTGTCACTGCCGACAGAGGGACCGGCTGGGGATGTGGGGTACCAGCTGGGGGTGCGGTATACCAGCTGGGGGTGTGGGGATCAGCTGGGGATGCAGGGTACCCTGTCACTGCCGACAGAGGGACCGGCTGGGGATGCGGGGTACCCTGTCACTGCCGACAGAGGGACCGGCTGGGGATGCGGGGTACCAGCTGGGGATGAGGGGTACCAGCTGGGGATGAGGTGTACCAGCTGGGAGTGTGGGGTACCAGCTGGGGATGTGGGGTACCAGCTGGGGATGAGAGGTACCAGCTGGGGATGCAGGGTACCAGCTGGGCATGCGGGGTACCAGCTGGGGATGCGGGGTACCAGCTGGGGATGTGGGGTACCAGCTGGGGGTGCGGGGTACCCTGTCACTGCCGACAGGGGCCGGCTGGGGCCAGCTGTTGGACTTGCCTGACCCTTCGTCTTAAAGGGGACAGCAGTAGTGTCTGCCTTTTGCACATTAAACACAGAAATACACAGAGGTCCTGGGCCTGCGCCCGGCCTGTTTGCACGCTGGCGTCTGGGGCTGATTACTGATGACAGCGGTTCAGAGCCCTTCCCCATCCAGGCCCCTTTGCAAGCCCCTTGACCTCGCCCTGGGGTCATGCGCCTGAGACTACAGGTGTGCCTGCACACCGGATGGGCTGCTGCCCTGGTCTGCCCTCCAGCCCTCTTCCTCGGAGGTGGCAGGGCTCCTTCCTCTGCGTGGTGCTGCGGGGCCAGCACCGAGTCCTCGCAGTTGGTTCGATGCTGGCAGCCTCGTGTGAGAATCCCCACCGCACGCCCGGCTGTCGCAGTGTGGGATCAAACCATTTCTAGTGCATCCCTGCCCCAGTGAGACCGTCACCTTACGATGCCCAGGCCCCGTCCGTCAGTCCCACAGGCCCTGTCCGTCAGTCCCACCGGCCGCTGCCCCGCCGGGACCCCGCACCAGCCTCCTGTCTTTGGAATTCTATTCTAGACATTTCCTGAAGAAGGCACCATGAAGAACCCGCCCCTGGCGGCCGGCTTCCCGTCCTGGCCCTTGGGTTCTCCCAGGCTGCGGGCTCCGCAGGTCTGCTTTCACAGCCGGGTATGCCCTGGTCTGTGTGGACCACAGTTGTTTATCCACGTGGCTGACCAGGCACGTTCAGTTGTTTCCGCTCTGGGGCTCTGATGAGTAACGCTGAGCAGCTGTGTGCGTGTTTTCTCATGAGCATCTGTTTTCACATGGGGGGGCTGGGTCACGTGGAGCCCCTCGCTTCCCCGCTGGGTCTCCCTGCTGAGTTCCCAGGCTCCAGCGCCCCCTCCCGCAGCCGGCCTGCGGTTCCCTGGGATGGCTGGCGGGCTGGAGGTCTTCTCTGAGCTGGGCCGAGCCACTCACTCTAAAGGACTCAGGCTTGGGTGGGGTGTAGCTCAGCGGCAACGCGCTTGCCCAGCAAGTGCAACGTCCTAAGGGTTCAATCTCCTGTACCAAAAAGGGAAAGACAAAAACAATACAGTTACGAGACTCAGACCCCCTCCACTCCACAGACACCCCAGGGAGGGTACTGTGTGAGCCTCCAGCATCGCCTGGACTGCGTCTCGGGCCACCCAGCCATGTCACCCTCCCCTGGGAGTGGCATGATGTCACACCATCCATTGCCAGAACTTTCTCATTGCTCTAACTGTAAGCCTTTACTCACTAAGTACCACTCCCAGCCTCCCACCCCAGCCCTGGGCAACCCCTGTTCTGAGTTCTGCCTCTGAGATTCCGACTCGGGAGTAGACTCCCGCAGCCCCGTCGCTAGTGACTATCTCACTGTCAGGCCCCCAGCCGGCAGGTAGGCACGTCCCGTGTCCTTTCTGGGAGATGTTTGTGACTTAGGACAAAGAGGTTGAGGGTAGAATTCAGACCACCCCATTGCAAAGGTCAGGGAGGGTGGGCGGGGTGAGGGGGGTCTGGGGAGGGCCATGGAGCCCTGTGCAGAGGAGGATGGCAGTCCGGGGTGACACGCGGAGGGATGGCAGTGGTCAGGGGAGGTTACAGAGAGGGGACGTAATGACAGAAGAGGTGGGCGCTGTCCCTGTGGCCAGGGCCAGGCCGATAAAGAGAGGTGGCAAGCCGGAAGTGGACAGGAGAGCCTGGGGCAGCTCCGCGGCGTGGCGGCTACACACAAGGAAGCCGGCGTCGGCGTCGGCATCCAGTGAGCAGCTGGGAGACTCGTGCGCCCCTCCCCTCTGCCAGCGCTGCAGGCTCAGGGTAGGAAATAGTTCCGGAAAAGCTGGAGAAAGAAAGAAATGGCCAGTGACCGCAGCCACAGGCCTGTGTGCCGGCCCCTGTCCCAGCCCAGGCTCACTCCTGAGTCTGAGGAGGGGCATTGGGGAGACTCGGGTCATACCCACAGGGGGTTTGACCCCCAGGGTCTCAGGGCCGTGCCCTGACCGCGGGACGGGTTTGTCAGAGCCATCCGCACTGCCCCTGGTGTCCAGGCGCTGCCAGGGGAGCTGTGGCCCCTTCCGGTGTCCTCAGAGAGGTGGTGGCCCCAAGGTGTCCACCCTGCTGCAGGGTACTACGTGGACGGGACACGGTTCCTGCCCCGAGGTCTCCTGGCCAGGCCCCCGCTGCACATGCGCACTCCTGGGCCGCCCACTGCAGGGTGTCTTGGCAGGTCCCATCACAGGGCAGGTGGGAGGCGGGCAAGGGGAGAGCTCAGAGCCTGGCGCTGGTCTGCGGCGTTGGTCACGCGGCACAGAGCCGCCCCTGGTGTGCAGGTGACACCAAACATCCATCATACTGGAACGAGGCATGAGCCTCCAGTCCCTCACATGTGGCCCGCCCCACCTTTGGGCCTCTCCTGGCCTCCCCTGCCGGCCTCCCCCTGGATCATTCTGGATGATTCTAATGCTAGGCACTCGCTCATCCATCTGTCTTTAACACATTAGGGGTTGGTCTGAAAGATGAGGGCTGAGACTGACAGCCACAGTGTTGGGGTCTGGATGCCGGGTTTGCAGTGTTGCCTACGACCGTATGTGTGTGTGTGTGTGTGTGTGTGTGTGTACATCGCACGCAGACCACTGCCTGCTCAGGTTTCAGAGGACTGCTTTCTCCAGGCTCTGTGAGCTTGTCTGAGGCTGGCTGGACAGATGTGCAGACGCTGGCATCTGCCCTGTGGTTGTGAGCAGAGGCACCTGATAGCAAGCTCTCTGCGAGTCTGCCAGTCTGGTGGCCTAGAGCAAGGCCAGGGCCCTCCTCTGTGCTGGCTGGCTCCTGGGGGGTGCTGTGGTGCTCACTGCCACCAGCCCACGGGCAGAGCAGGGGTCCCCTGTGTGGGCCTTGTCTGTCAGCAGTGGGGGGGAGTGCCTGAGAGGCACCTATGGGTCCCCCCCAGTCTCCATGTGCTACCACGCCAAGTCCCCTCCCCCCCAACGGTGCCCCCCCCAGTCTCCATGTGCTACCGCACCAAGTCCCCTCCCCCCCAACGGTGCCCCCCCCAGTCTCCATGTGCTACCGCACCAAGTCCCCTCCCCCCCAACGGTGCCCCCCCCCAGTCTCCATGTGCTACCGCACCAAGTCCCCCCCCAACGGTGCCCTGGTAACCAGAGCAGCTGAAGGAGAGGCTGGGTGCCCGGGGAGGAGAGCTGCGGGCCAGACGCCTTGCCCTCAGCCCCCTCTTCCCAGGCTGCAGCCTCTGGGGAAGGGAGCACCCACAGGGCTGCCCCTGGCTGACCTGTCCACGTGTGCTTCTGTGCCAGCCCGAGGGCAGGCTGGCACTCAGCTGGGCGACGTCGGGCCCACTGCCGCTGGCAGGGCCTTTGTGAGCCATTTCTCACGGGTCAGCTGCAGGAGGGTCATGGGGTTAGCACCCACCTGCCTGCCTGCACACATGCATGCACATATGCACCAGACGCCCCCACGCACGCACACTCAGGCACCCATTACACACTAGCACACACAGCCAGGCAGGCCTGCCTCACGCCTTTCCCACCATCACCCGCGCTGGACAGTGGCCACTGGCGCAGGACAGCCCCAAGGGGTGGACGGGGAGACCTGGGTTTAGAGGCTCAGCCCGGCTCCCTGCAGGCCTGGGTCCTCTGCTCTTCTCCTTTCTGACCTCGCAGAGTGGTGCGGGCTCCTGCGCGGGCCCCACTGCTGTTGTGAGGTGACCGCCGCTCTGGCTGGGCCTTGCATGCTCTGGGGACCGGCCGTGGCTTCTCTCTGCAGCAAGAACCACAAGGCATCATCAGAGGCCCAGAGCAGACTCCCGAGTTGTCCTTTTGTGTCCTTTCTCCACGTTGACCTTGCGGTGGCCTCCGAGGGTGTCCACATGGTCTGAGAGCCAGGGCGGCCAGTGCCAGCCTCGCTGCGGGGCTTGTGTTCCCCTGGTCCCATGGGCTCAGGCCGGTGTGGATGGGGGTCCTGTGGCCGTTGTGCTACCCTGTGTCCCAGACTCTGAGGCTGCTGCCCCTTTCAGAGCTGTAGCTGTAGCAGTCCCATGACCTGAGCCGTGTGGAACTCCCCGGTGCGGACCCGGGCGCTTCTGCTCAGCGCCCTCTGAGCTCGTGGTGTTTGTCTTCCAGGCTGGCCCAGGGACCCTCATCATGGCCACAGGGGTCCAGGACTTTAACAGGACAGAGTTTGATCGGCTGAACGAGATCAAGGGTCACCTGGAAATCGCCTTACTGGAAAAACACTTCCTTCGTGAGTATCAGACGAGCTGACGGGGGCAGGCGCCCGGGGTGGGGGTTGGGCCAGGCTGCGCCTCCTCTCCATGCCAGCAGCTCCCCTGGCTTCTGTGCGCTCCGAGCTCTGCCACTGGGTTCATGCGTGGGGGCAGGCGTGGGCCTGCGGCCATCTTTGGAGTTAGCAGTACCCACGTAGGCCTTTGCACCACGAAGTTCAGCGCCGGCCTGGGATTGACAGATGACGTTAGGCAGAGACTCAGGACAAAGAATGAAATGTCCTTGAGAATTCGGAGTATCTTGGTGAATCCAACATGGTTTCCCTGGTTAATTCAGGATTTGGGGAGCTCTGTGAAGGAATCTGGAGTTCTGTGCTCTGTTTATTTCCACGGCAAGGAGAGCAGAGGTACTGGGGTCTCCATCCTCCACAGGTTGGGTGTCCCCACCTGCTGGCTCTCCCTGGTGCTCTGGTCTCTGGGGCTGTGAGCAGAGAGGGCTCCTGAAGACCCCACGGGCTCCGCCTGCGGCCATCTCACTCTTCATCCCTCCTCCTCCTCCTCAGCCCCAGAGGCTCCTCGACTTACAGGTGGGGAAACTGAGGCATAGAATAGAGCTAAGGTCGCCCCACTGTGGGTGAAGCCTTCTGACCATGAAGGTTTAAGCAGTCTGACTGCCCTGAAGCCAGTGCGTGTGGCGCTGTGGGACACCGCGCCATCTCCGGCTGCTGTGGTGGAGATGGTGTGTGACGAGGAAGAAAGTACAGGAGGACGCAGCGTCTGTCACGGGCCTGGATTTGGTTGCTGTGAACTGCACAGAGCAAAGCCTGGGGTTGGGGCCACCGCAGGGGGATCTGTGGGAGGGCGAGGGCTCGGGACGTTCTCTCAGGAACGGGCCAAGGTGCAGACGGAGCCTGCTGTATCCCTGAGGCAGGGTGATGCGGGGCGGGGAGAAGGACCTCCTCTGGGGCCAGCAGCTCCCTGGGGACCATTGTGCAGGGGACACCCCGCCATGGGACTCACGGGTCTGTCCTCAGCGCTGCCTCTCCGTGACGGCTCTAACGCTGGGTGGGGGGGTTCATTGTGACACCTCTGGGGGGCCTGTTACAGGCGGGACTGTTTGCTTTCTGTGCTATGGGGTTTTACGCTTGATAGGCACGCGCTCTAGACCTCTCTTGCCTTGTTTTTCAGAAAGGATTTTATACTTTTTCCTGGGGAACCTGGACTGCCATCCTCGGACCTGTAGTTCCCAGCTAGCTGGGATCCGCGGCATATGCCACCATACCCAGCTTACTGATAGAGGACCTTTTGGCCTGGGCTGGCCTAAAACCGTGATCTTCCCAGCCTCTGTCTCCAAAGTAGCTGGGGGCTGCATGGGTGATCCAGCCATGCACAGTCCAGGGAGTACTTGGTAATTCTGGAAAATTTCGAGTGTTCATAGAAATACAGCTCTTGCTGATGTCCACAGTAGCAATTGGTTCTGGGCCGGGCTGGCGCCTCCCCGCTCCCTCCCAGGGTATTCTGGACAAATCCCAGCAGCACCCTATCAGTTCATCTGTAAATATTTTATGAGGTAGCTCGTGATGTTTTAAAGACAGAAGCCACGTGTCCAGTATGCCAAGTGAAATGAAAAATGGCTTTTCTTTGATTTTGTCAGATACCGGACTTGAGCTCGAATTTCCTGGTAGTCTTTTCATTTCTTGGCAACTGTCTTTGAATTGACACTCAGCGAGGGCTAGGAGTGGCCGCTGTGTGTCTCTTGGTCTGTGACTAGTGACCGGGCCACCTGTTGACAGTGTCCCTGTGCAGTCAGCATGCCTTTAGTCCGTCTGTAGACACAGAATTTGATCAGTGTTGGGAGGGCATCTGCTTGTGGGCATGGGGTGGGTGTGGTGTGGGTGTGGGCAGTTTGCGAGGTCACAGCCTCGCTGATTATTATGAGAGCTGTCTCCCAGCAGCCGTTGGAGCGTGGTCAATTTCTGCTTCCTCCGTTCACGCTCCATTGACTAAAACCCCCATATTTCTGAAAAGAAACTCCCCTTGCCGGTTGTGTAGTTACCAGTGCCTGTGGGGGTGCGGGACACATCCTTGCTGCCCCCTGTATTTTCCAGCCCGTAATAATGAGCTGAGCAGTGAGGGTGATGTGCGTCTGTGGGAGTTGTAATGTCACCCTCCGGTCGTGAGTTTAGTCATGTGGTTAGTATTTGCTGGGTTCGCATAGTTCTGGCTGTGGGCTGTGGGAGACGCGGGCTTGGTTTCTGAGTCTTTTTCAGTGTGATAGAATATTCAGCTTTGTTGCAACCCTATCCTGTCCCAGTCCTGAAAGGAGACGTTTATGACAGCCCTGGTTCCTTGTGCTGGAAAGCAGTGGAGAGCAGCCGCAGCCTCCAGGACGCTGCCTGCACCGGCTGGGCATCGCATCCCGAGCCTGCCAGGGCCTGCCCCCGTGCAAGGCCTCAGCTGACGGGAACGCCCATCCGGGACTCTGGCATTACTTCTGACCTCACTGGACCGTTCTCCCGGTTCCCAGGGGACACCAGCCCAGCCTGTTGGTTTCTGTTGTCATGAAAACACATGTAAATCTCAGACACAAGGAGAGACCACCACCAAGCATCAGATGACTAAGAGCACTTGGGTTTGTGTTTAGTTCCTTTCAGAACCCTTGGGGTGTCCCACTGGAGAGGTGTGCGCTGCTGGATTTGCACGTCCCCCTCAGGAGCTCCTCCCCCTTCATTTAGATGTTTAGAGATTGCCTTTGTTTTCTTTTAACTTTTTATGTGACCCAACTTTAGACTCAAAGGAAAGTTACAAAGGTAGCATCAAAACTCCCATATATGTTTTTTATCTAGTTAATCCTCCAGGGTTAATATTTTATCATCTGTCTGTTTTCTCTTTACCAGGCCATCCTTTCCCCCATTCATCCATACATCTGTCCATCTACCTACCTACACACACACACACACACACACACACACACACACACACACACACATATACACGCACGCACACACACACACTATTATTTATCTGAGCCCCATCCATCCATTCCTTCACCCACCCAATCTATCCATCTATATTATTTTTCCTGGGCTTCCTGATGCTCAGGTGCAGACACCACACCCCTGGGTTGTAAACACTCTGCTGTGATTCCTGGCAACAAGGGCAGCACACCAGGAAGGTCAGTAAGTTAACATTGGTTCTGCTCTGATTTTCTTCCATGTTCATTGTTGTTCCGTGGGAGTCTGTACAGCAAAGGCAAGTCTGGGTCGTGGCTGTGTCCTGTCTCATCTCCTTGGAACAGACGCTCACCCTTTCTGTGTTTCCTGATCTTGGTGTTTTGGAAGAGCAGAATTCTGCTCTCTGGTGGCCTCAGTTTGTGTTGGTCCCTGCTGTCCTGTGCGGAGACTTTAGTCCTGAGCTTCAGTGATGTTGGTTGTGGTGTCTTTAGTGCATCCAAAGTGCATGATGTTATCTCATTATGCACAGGGTCAGAAGTTCTTTTTAATTTAATTCTCAGGCTATATGAAGTTGTTTATAGTAGGACAGTTCTATAGTCCTAGCCCTGGAGAGGCTGAGGCAGGAGGATCGCCTGGGCTCACCAGTTCGACCCCAGCCTAGTAACAAAGGGAGAGCATGTCTCAAAAATAACTAAGACGCCTCGTTTTGAAATCAGAATATATGTAGAGAACACGTGTTTTTCTTTGTGCACTCCCATACTGCCTTCCTCCTCTACACTAATTTCATCCACTGATTTTTTTTTCCAGTACTAGGGCCTTGTCCTTGCTAGGCAGGTGCTCTGCTGCTGAGCCAAAACCCCAGCCCTTTTTGCCGATCCTTTTAAAGGTAGGTGTGCACTTGGACTGGGATCTGCCTGTGTTCGATTTTTGTCAGAGCTGGAACCACAAGGGAGCACTACCACACCCCGCTTCCCTCCACAGAAGTGGGTCTCACGGACTCTTTGGTCTGGGCTGGCCAGGGACCACAGGCCTCGCAGTCTCAGCCTCCCATGTAGCTCAGGATGGTATGTGTGTGCCACGGCACCAAGCAATGGGTAACCTTTCTGTCCGGGCTGTTCTTGAACTTTGATCCTCCCATCCTCAGCTTCCCAAGTAGCTAGGATTACAGGTGCGAGTCACTGGTGCCCAGCCCCATCACTGGACATTCTTTTTCAATAGAAGCAAACATATGTGTCTGTTCTTGCCTTCCCCCCAGGTAAGTGTTAGCACACTGACACTTGCGCTGTGTGTGTCCTGGTAGCCAGTCTAACGTGGTACTAAGACACAGGTCCTGGTCTGTTTTATAGCTGCACCTGTGGCGGGGCTGTGCATAGGTTAGCCTGCCTGCTCCCAGTTGATGGACAATTATTCTGCCGTCAGCTCTGGTTGTTGATGGGGCCCTGAGGATGTGAGCGGGACTTATTTTTGTACCCTGAGCCCAGTGACAGTTGATTACAGAAAGGCCTGAGGCGGAAGGTACACACTGCGGAGCCTGCAGACTGCCATTGTTTTCATAGAGGAGAGGAAATAGCCCAGGTATATGCCGGCTCCTCCGGTTATCAAATATTGAAGAGTACAAATGTTCCTGTGAGAAAATGACACGGGATGGGGGTGGTGAAGGTGACATGTAGCCCGGCCCTGGCTGAAGGGAGGAACATAAATTGGTTAAAGAAGTGCATGAATAAATCAAAACCACCATCCATTTTCAGTGAGCCTGGGGTGTACTTCAGTGGCTTATTTCTTTCTGAGCAAAATGCATTGTATTCCGTGGTTTCTGTACACAAATATCCATGTACTGCTCACCTTTGGTGTATGGGCCCTGGGAACCATGATCTCCAATGTTGTAAGACATGCACCCCCACATCCACCCAAAACTGACTTGGAGGGAGTTGGATTTTGGACAAGTTCTTCTGAGGCGGTCTGGGTCTGGGAGCCTCGCGATCGCTGTGGCGTGCTGTGGAGTTCCTTATGGGTGGAAGGTGCTGCTCTTGCTGATGTGAAGGCTCTGCTGGTGAGACCGAAGGCTCCCGAGGGTGCCAGGCCCCAGCTCCAGGCCACCGTTATTCACACAGTGCAGGACACACGCACATTCCCGGCACAGGGGGCCGGCAGTGCGGGTGGATGCGAGAGCATGTGCATCACACAGAAGGTACGTAGATGGGGTACACCGGTGCTCCTGGAAGCCCCTTCCTGTGCTGGTATTCTGGGGTATAGTGGCTGGGTAAGAGAGCTTCTGGAAGAAGCTGGTCAGGGCGGGCTAGCTGCCTCCAGAAAGGCATCAGGACTTAGACCTCACCCTGGATGCACAGACTCAGAAGAGCGGTCCTGCGACAGGAAGTTCCTGGGATGATTGACAAGGGTCCTCCCCATCAGCCTTCTTTTGAAGGCAAAAGGGTATTGGGAGCTGTCAGTGCATCCAGCAGAGATGAGACGGACACAAGACCAGTCGGAGCAGGTCCGTGCAGGGCTGACCAGACTTCGCAGCCCTGTAGCCCTGTGCCCTGGGGCTGCTCTTAGTGCTGCTCTAGCAGATCGTTCACGGTGCAGAGCTAGAAAAGTCCCCGCCCCCCAGACATGAGCTTGGCCTGCCCTCCCCCACACCAGGCAGTCATGGTAGGGCTGATTCTGTCCCCAGGGTGGGCAGTGAGGACCGTGAGTGTGAACAGATGGATCAGAGGGCGGATAAAGACGGATCGCAAGTGGGGAGACCTATCCAGGTCCTTCCAGAATTTTTCTAGAAAAAGGATGAAATCGGCACCCAAGGCCATGAAAAAGAGATGGCTCACAGCGCTCAGAATTCCCTGTCTCTTGGGCTGGGGTGTGGGTTGGTGGTGGTGGAGCACTTCCCCAGCATGCACGAGCCTCTGGTTCCATCCCAAACATAGCAAAAGAGAACAACAAAAAAAAAGAGATTTCTAAATCACTTCTCTTGCCCAATGGCTAAATCTTGGTTGGGGATGTTTGGCCTCGAGACTTCTTTTGGCCAGGATAAGAGACCTTTGAACCATATACTATGAGAACCTCCTGGCTCTCAGCACCGTCCTGCCCTGCCCTGCCTAGGGGTGGGGTGGGGCAGGAGGAGGGGTGCTGTGAAGCCTGCCCGCTGTGCTGTGCTGATGGCTCCCTGTCCTGGGTTCAGCAGGACCACCTGGTGGGTGTAGGAGCCGCTCCCATCCCAGGGATCATGTCTCATGACTCTCACCTTGTCCACACACAGTAGCAGCTCCCAGCCGTGCTAGAGGGGTCTGTGCAGTATGACTGAGGGGCATTAGGCAGAGTTGCCCCTGGCCAGCCGCTTGTGTTCAGTGGGGGACAGCACTGTGGGGCACACTTACTTGTCCCCTTCATTCACTGGACTCATACAGAAGGGAGTGGAGGTAGCTGCTGCCTTATTTGTGAGTTCCAGTAGCTTGGACCCAGAGCCTGGCTCAATATACATCGTGAGTATATAGATGTATGGATGTGTGATGGACAAATGGCTGTCTGGCTGGATGAGTAGGCAGGCAGGTGGCGGACTGAAGAGATGGCTGGCTGGCTATACCAGTGAGTGGGTACATACATACATACATGGATGGATGGATGGATGAATAGATAGATGGATGATGGATGGACAGGTGTTAGATGGTTAGATGGATAAAGTGGCTTTTCCTTTGACTGGACATGCCCTGGTATGTATGCTTCAAGACCCCACTGGGTACCTTCCAGACTCCATCCTCCAGATACCCCCTCCTTTTCTCCTTCCTATTTAGTGTTTTTCCCTTGTCACTTTTGCCCCCTAGCAAAAGTGGGGGCCCCTTGCCTGTCCCCCAGTCCAAGCTGAACAGGAAGTAGGTGTTTAGCTAGGAGAGAAGGCACCGGGGCTTGGAAGGCTTGGCTGTTGGCGGTGTGGAAAGAGACGGTACGGGGTGGGGGTGGGTGGAGGGGCTGAAGCCCCAGCTTTTGAACCCTTCATTCTCCCTGCTCAGTGCCCACAGTGTCAGAGGCAGGCCCGTGTCCAAGTGACTGCAGATCAGCCATCAGGGTGAGCAGCTGGCGGGGGAGCCCCACTTCTTTCTGGTTTACATGGGGGAGGGGGCAGGCTCAGGCCCTTCGTGCCCCCAGTTTCCTAACGTGCGGCGACATCTCTAAGTGTCTGAGCAGCAGCCTGGCCCGGCCTGTGAGAGTAGAAATGCCTAACTGGGCGGCTGCCTGATTCCTGGTCCCCCTGCTCATCATGTGGCGCGGCCTCTGCGTGGAGCAATAGATCACAAGAAGGAAGTAAGGGACAAAAGGCGGGCTGGAGGTTGTGAGCAGAGCAAGGCATTTCCTGTGAGGGGCTGTCCCCACCCCAGAGCGCGCGCGCGCGCGTGTGTTTGTGTGTGTGTGTGTGTATGTGTGTGTGTGTGTGCACGCACTACACATTGCTGCTGGATGGGGAGGGGCCCTTGGTCCATTTGGGGAAGGTCAGGGCTTTGTCTTCTAGAGTCCATGGTGATGGTGGTGATTAAAAAAAAAAAAAAAAAGATGGAGCTTGATGGAGGTTGGACTCAGGGCCTCATGCTTGCTAGGCAGGTGCTCTACCATCTGAGCCATGCCTCCAGCCTTGGGAGAGGGTCCAGGAAAGGGGTGCCAGGCTCCAGGTGTGCAGGCCTCACCTGGCCAGGACAGTGTTCTGCTACTTTTGGCGTCCCTCCCAAGCCTGTGCTCCTGGCCGGACGGGAAGGAGTTTTATTTAAGGATTATCACTTGATTTTTATTTCTGGCTGAGGCTGGGCTGGTTGGAGTGTGTGCCAAGAGGGGCTCTCTTGGCTCGGGAGTTCTACTTTTGCAGGTTTAAAAATAGCCCCAAAGCTGCTTTCCTTCCTCCCCGTGCAGCAGCTTCCCCGCGGGCTGGGTGTCGCCAAGGCTGGGCTGGGTGGTCTCGGCCCACGGAGGCTGATCAGAGCACGGAGGGAAAGGGTAGGGCCCAGAGTGGAGGCCCAGCGGACCTCCTGGCCTTCCACTGCCGGGTGGGCATGGCTTGTTAGACCCTGTGGGCCTGAGGGCTCCTCTGGCCCAAAGTCCCCCGGGCCTCCACCCCTTCCCCTCTCCCTGTTATGTTTTGCCTCCCCGATTGCTCTTGCAGGGGTTGGGCTTGGCCTCTCGGGGATGCCCTGGTTTTCCTCTGGTGTCACCCTGAGCGGCCTGGCTTGCTTTCCTGGTAATTGGATGGCTGGTGGTTGGCACAGATGCTAAGTTGAGCAGAAGCCCACAATGGGAACTTCTTGATTATGGCATGAAATTTTCTTCTGCCATGTACCCCTGGGACTTGGAAAACGTGGGGGGGGGGCAGACTCTTCTTCAGCAGGCACCATGTCTTCCCTGGCCCCAGCAGACCCCCTGGCTGACCAGGGGGGCAGAGCGCTGCAGGCCCCTCATGGCCAGCCCCGGGCCCGGGCAGGAGCAGGTCTCGCTGGGCTGGAGCCACGGTCTGATGTGCTGCCTGTGACTTAGTGCAGCTCCCGACCTGTGGCCTGGCCTCTGTCAGGTGTGAAGCCAGGCTCCAGAAGCTGCATCCTGGCTGCTGAGATCACACCCTTCTCTCCCCTAGGGTGAGTGGCGGAGGGCTCTGTGGCTTCTACAGTGTGGCACACGTGGCAGGCGGGCAGCGCCCCCTTCATGGTGCCTTTCAGCCTGGGGGGTAAAGGTCCTGTGGGTGAACTTGATTGTCAGAGCCACCTGTGCACTGGCAGTCTTGTTTCAGGGTCACTCGGGGCGCCGCTGGAGGGGACGGGAGAAGGATGGGAGGATGGGCCCAGCCTGGGCCAGCCATTCACCCTGCTGAAGGAGGTGGCTGGACAGACCCCCTGCCATGGCCCGGGGGTCCTGGGGGACTCAGCGGCTGGGGAGCAGCAGGGTGAGGCCAGGCGGCCTTTTGAACACCCAGCTCAGCACTTTCTTCTGGCAGAAAGTCAGCTCTCCTGTTTCTGCTCTCAGGGAGGAGAAAGAAAAGCCAGTGATGGGCGATTTGTATTGCTTTTGTCCTCGGGAAAGATGGCTGTGTGCTGCCCGGCATTTGACCTAAATATGTCACCGCGGGGTGGAGGCAGGCCCACAATACCCGGCTGCTGGATCTCATGGTTGCGGAACGAGCACTCGGCCTTGCTGGGAGCCATCCACGGAGAGCTAGTGGAGCTCAGCGATACCAGCCGGTCTCCACTGACGGGGCTCTCCTGGGAACAGGCTAGCCGCACGAGCAGGCTGCGTGCTCAGAGCTGTGTCTTGCCAGGTGAGATCAGGATGGGCTCGGGCCGCAGCCCACCCTCCCCCCCCCAGCCCTGGAAGCCCTGGTGTGTGGACCCTCACACAGCAGGCAGCCGCCATGCTTCTCACTGCTGTGTCCCCGCGTGTCCACCTGGAGGTCCACCGTCCCTGGGTGGCCTCCGCCACCTCTGCTCAGTCAGGCTGACCCTCTGCCACCCTGCAAGCTGGTGGTGTGCTGACCCTTCTCAGCTTAGTGACACCAGGAAGGAGCAAGTGTCAGGAGTGGCCGGCCTGGCAAGGAACACGTGGTCTCCTGTTTCCAGTGCTGGAGGGCCAAGTGCCTGCGGCGGCTCGTCTCCACGTGGGTGGGAAGCGACACCTCTGCTGATTTGACACGGGCTATGGTCAAAGGGGCTCTGGGGCATGGGTGGGTGTTGGGGGGTTCTGGTAAGGAAGTGTGTGCAGGCATGTGTGCGCACACACTCGGGGACAGACCCAGAGATGAAGCCGCCCTGCGGGTGCCTGGGACCCCCTCTGGGGAAGGCCCGAGGCGATGGGCAGGGCCCAGCGTCCAGGCCCCGGTGTAGCATGGTAATGACTCAGTGAGGATCTCCTAGCGAAGTGTGTGTGCACAGAGGTGCGTGGGTGGAGGTCTGTGTGGAAGTGTGTATGAGTAGAGGTGTGTGGGCAGAGGTTGTATGAGTGTGTGTGTGTGTGTGAGAGAGAGAGAGAGAGAGCGCGTACCACCTGGAGGGCCTGGACTGGGGACAGCAGGTCCCACAGACATGAGGGGTGGAGATTGGGAGGGGCCGGGCAGGTGGGCTGTGACCTCTGCGTGGCCTTCCCTGCAGGTGTGGAGTGGGCTGGGGGGCTTTGGCAGGACTCTCCCTGGCTGTAGGGCAGCATCTGGGAGGCCAGGACAAGGCAGGGCTGTGGGTTCCAGGCTGCGGGTTCTGGATTATGGGCTGCGGGGCTTCAGGCTCCGGGGTTGTGGGCTCTGGAGCTGCGGGGTTCTGGGCTGCAGTCTCCGGGACTATGGGCTGCGGGGCTCCAGGCTGCGGGCTCCAGGACTGCGGGCTCCAGGCTATGGGATGTGGGGTCTGGGGCTGCGGGGTCTGGGGCTGCAGGCTCTGAGCTGTGGGCTCCGGACTCCGGGGCAGTGGGCTCCGGGTCTGCAGGGTTCTGGGCTTCGGGGCTGTGGGCTCTGGAGCTGCAGGCTCCGGGGCTGCAGGTTCCAGGCTGCAGGCTCAGGGCTGTGGGCTCTGGGGCTGCAGAGACTCCGGGCTCTGGGCTCCGGGTCTGCAGGGCTCCGGGCTGCGGGGCTGTGGGCTCTGGAGCTGCAGGCTCCGGGGCTGTGGGTTCCAGGCTGTGGGTTCCGGGCTGCAGGCTCCAGGACTGCGGGTTCTGGGTTCTGGGCTGTGGGTTCCAGGCTGTGGGTTCCGGGCTGCAGGCTCCAGGACTGCGGGTTCTGGGTTCTGGGCTGTGGGTTCCAGGCTGTGGGTTCCGGGCTGCGGGCTCCAGGGCTGTGGGCTCCAGGCTCCAGGCTGCGGGCTCCGGAACTGTGGGCTGCAGGCTTCAGGCTGTGAGCTCCAGGGCTGCGGGTTCCAGGCTGTGGGCTCCAGGCTGCGGGCTCCAGGGCTGCGGGTTCTGGGCTCTGGGGCTGTGGGCTCCAGGCTGCGGGCTCCAGGGCTGTGGGCTGCAGGCTCCAGGCTGCGGGCTCCAGGGCTGTGGGCTGCAGGCTCCAGGCTGTGGGCTCCAGGGCTGTGGGCTGCAGGCTCCAGGCTGTGGGCTCCAGGGCTGTGGGCTCCAGGGCTGTGGGCTCCAGGGCTGTGGGCTGCAGGCTTCAGGCTGTGGGCTCCAGGGCTGCAGGCTCCAGGTCTCCAGGCTCCAGGCTGTGGGCTCCAGGCTGCGGGCTCCAGCAGTGCTGTCGCCTTTCTCAGTCAGGGCCTCCGTCAGGTTGGATTCCCACTCTGACCTCTGCCACTGGCGGCTCATCTTAGACCAGCGCAGCCAGCTGGCTGGAGTGTCCGGTTGAGCCGCTGCTCCCTGAGCAGCTGGGTCCTCCCGCTGGAACCGCTGGAGTGGGGCTGGACAGAAGCTGTGCGGTGTCTGGGACCCCGCTGCACCCTGCAGACTGCAGCCCGCCCAGGCTCCAACCACAGGAGGGGGCGTGGCCCAACACCGCCTACCGAGGTGATGCTTGTGAGACCCCCATGTGCTGCTTGGACTCTGACCTCAGTCTTTAGCCTCCTCTGCCCAGGAACATTAATAGCCAGCTGGGGGGCCTCCGTGGCCCCTGGGGAGGGTTTCTCCAGCTGGCCCCACTGAGCTGACTGTGCTGAATGGAAGGTCCCGGCAGGCAGGAAATGGGAGACTTAACTCCAGGTGCTTACTGAGCACCCCGTGGTTCTACACATTTTCAGGTGTGCTGAGCTGCGGCCTCTGCCTGGGCCATCACGTGTCGCTGCTCTGCAGTGCCCCTGCACTGGGTTGGTGAGTGGACCTGGGTCTGGGTCTGGAATACTGACCTTGGCCAGGACTTGGTAACTTAGGTTGAACCCCGTGTCCAAAGCAGGGACTGGACTCGACCTCGCATACCTCCATCCAGAGAGGGGACTGGACTCAACCTGAACCTGGGTTCCCATGTTTGGAGAAGGGACTCACCCTGCATCCCTGCGTCTGGGAAGGGACTAGATCGGGAAAGGTGCTAGATTAGCAGAATACCTCCCATCCTACCTGGAAAGAAGGTTCCAGGCTAGTGGAAGTCTCACCTAGCCTACTGCAATCTGGAAATACAGCCCCACACAGACCTGGATGAATTCGTTA